TTCCTTCCAGTACCTTATTTCACAGACTCCAATTCCAAGCAACAGAGGGAAATGCCAGGAGGAGAGTGGATCTAAGTCTTGGCATTGAGGTGGTGAGGCTGGACTGGGGAAGCTTCTAATTATCCCTGCAGGTAGGTCAATGTCATGGACATGAGTTGGGTTTCTGCTCCCCACTTTCATCCCCTCCTCAGCCTCCACCAGTGCATAGAAAGTGATATACTACTCAGCCAGGAAATTTTGCTCCATCCTCCTCCTTCATGCTCCATCCATAGTATATCTGGGATAGGAAACACTCATGTAGAATGCCACCCTTAGCTAACTCCACAAAAATTGTCTCCTGAGAATAATAGCTGATCTCAGGATGTTTTCATTAAAAAACGATTTCAGTAACAAACTAGCAAATCACTTCTCCTTGTCTAATAAGCAATATCACGGGGTAGAATTATGAAAAACTTATGGGCTTAACGCTATCCTCAGCAACAAGGGGCTCGCTATCACTAGATTCAACAGCTCATTTATCTTACCTGTGGTGGCCGTGCAAACAGACAGTTCCGTTCCTTGTTTTTTCACGCCCTAAGTGGCAGAAGAAGAAAAAAAAAGACTTGTGAACTGAATTCTGTATATGTATATATGTGTATGTGTGTGTGTGTGTATATATATATATATATATATATATGTTCTAAGGCCATATGTGAGTGGACATATGTTTTCTAAGGTCACACACACACACACACACACACACACACACACAGGAACCTGCAGCAGAAAACCCCTTACCTTAATTTAAATTTGCAAAATTTACAGAAGATTTAAGATTTACACTCACATTTACTTTTATTCTTATGGGTACTAGTATCATTGAACTTGTGTTCCTGGAAGGAGGACTCTTCATAGCCAACACCTAATAGTATTATGTCCTATTATTAATAACAATGTTCTAGCTTACTGAATTTAAGAGTAGAGGAGGGCTGTAGGTAGCAAATTCTTAGAGACATAAAATTTAAGTTGATCAGAAGTACCTTTAAGACACTAACGAGAATATGCCTTCTCCCTAGAACCTAAAGTCTTAGCTCCCCATCAGGAATACAGTCAGAATTTTTCCTGTGTGCTTTTATTCTATTTTGTTTGAATTACAACTTATAGTCTAATTTTATT